TGCATTTCACAGTCAGGCCTTTCTGGAAGACCTATGCAGCCGAGTACCGAGCTATGGATTCAATCCATAGCTCGGTTCTCGGCTGCAGAGGTCTTGCAGAACTGAGCTATGGATTCAATCCATAGCTTGATTCTCAGCTGCAGTGGCCTTCTGAAAAGGCCTGTGACTACGAAATGCAGGCCTGATTGCAGAAGATCCCACAGAAGAAGTGGGCCGGCAAGGAGAGGCCTGGCTGCAAGATAAGTGGGTGCAGGGCCTGTGGGACAGCTCCACTCCCCCACCCTTGTCCTAGGTTGATTTTTAAGTGTGTGCCTTACCCCAAAACTAGGGCTTATTTTTGGGGTAGGCCTTACTTTTGGAGAAACATGATATATATAGATTAGATAATTGGAAAGAACATCTTGATGGTAAGAACAGGCACTCAGTGGAATCGGTGACTGCAAAGAGCCACTCCTTCCCCTTTACTGGAGGTTTTCAAACAGAGGCTGGATAGTCAGCTATTGGGTATAATGTAGCAAATCCTGCTGTTGTTGGACTTCACCGCTTAAATCCCTTCCAATTCTATGATGCTATGAATTATTTGAAGTGGACAATTCATTTCCACCAGTATTTCTCAGTTCCAACACTAACATTTCTGAACATATCTGATAATTTTAATGAGGGAGGTTTGTATTAACATTCATTGAGCTTTACAAGATGTACAAAATTTTCAAACGTTCAAGTTTGAAATATCTTGATTTTGAAACATTCCAGTCCAATCTTGCTACAAATGTTTCAACAGTTAAACAGTTTGTTCTAACTTTACCAGTTATGTTCTGACCTCAAAAACAAAAGTGTTCCAACCACCAAATTAAGGTCAGAATGGCTCATTTTCAGGTCAGTCTACTTCTGAAAAGGTAAAGTTAGAACAAGCTCTTCTGTCATCAAACTATTTCCATTGAGATTGAAACATTCAGTTCCATAGTTGGAACAGGCTATTTTAGAGGCATTTCAACCTTGAAATGTTTTGTACACCTCTTTATAAAATATATTGCCAGCAGTGGTAGAATTCCACATATTTGTAGTGGTATGAATTGAAATTGTTATACTTAATTGAACCCCATTATATTTTCAAGTTCCTTTTGTCCATTCCATTCAAAGAAAATATCATGGAAAAATGTTTATAAATTCATTAAACAAAAATTGCATACAGAAAAGCCCGACTGTGATACTAAATGCATATACTTCTGTCAGTAAATGTGTTAGCAGAAGAGCTAAGCAGAATGTAGAATCTCCTTTCAGACATCAGTATTATTTTGGGGGGGAAATTAAGGACACTTTTGAACCAAGATGATTGCAGGATATTGTTAGTAATAGTTTTTTTCCTCATCTCCCTGCACATGTGTAATCAATCTATAGTAGAATAGAATAGGAATAGAATAGAATAATAACTTTATTGTCACTTTGAATGTACACTAATTGGCATATATTAAAATGAAATTCCGTTGCATACAGCTCTCAAAGGGTCACCACCTCCAATATACACTACATAAATATGACATAAATAAATAGAGAATTATGCATATACCCACATATATAATATGACACAGAGAAACAACACAGTCTAATTTGGATTGTGTATACTTGTGCATGGCATAGGGAAAAAAAGCTATTACAGAATTGGGTAGTCCTGCTACAAATGCTTCGAAACCTCCTCCCAGAGGGGAGCAACAGAAACAGACCGCAAAGTGGGAGTGTGGGGTCTCTAACAATGCTTTGAGCTCTAAGCACATAGCGCTTATAAGAAGCATCCTGAATACCAGGGAGTGAGCTTCCTATGATCTTCTTGGCTGACCTTACCAATCTCTGTATGGACTTTCTGTCTGAGGCACTGCTGCCACCAAACCAGACAGTGATGCAGTTTGTTAAAATGCTCTCAATCGTGCCTCTGTAAAAAGTGGCCAGGACAGAAGGAGAGAGATGTGCTCTCCTCATCTGATGCAGGAAATGTAGACGCCGGTTTGCATGCTTCACTAAGGATGATGTTTGGAGAGACCAATTCAGATTTAAGATTTAATAGATGTTTAAAAACTACCTTGTTTAATTCCTAATGAAATCAAAGTTATTCATACATTTGTAGCAGATCTCTGGTATTCCTTTTACCTTCGATATTTTAGGTCTCCAGTATAAAGCATTGCATTTGGGTTCTGGGACTAACTTTGGATTTAATTTTTGGAGATAACTATATTAAAACATACTCATATACAACATTTCTTAAATATATGCTAGATAATTCTAATCACTTATATTTTCCAGTCTTCAATTTTCAGCTGGACATCTTGCAAAATTACACGTGGCAATTATCTATTGATTTTTTTCTAGTTTTATTACTAGTTTTACTCTTCCATGCTTTAAAACTGTTTTTGTAATATCTGTGTTTATTTCTAAATAGTTCTCTAAGTAATTTGGATTCTGATTTTTGCAGATCATCTAAAAGAAGAGATAATCCAGCGGCACATGCAAAAGGCAGCACAAGGTAAATATAATATCCCAGGATAAAGTATTTCCCCCCACCCCATGGCATTTGTTTGTAGACATCACATGGTGTTAATGGTGGGGCGGGGGGGTGTCTATCATGTTGTTATAGTTCGTGCAACAAAATTTTCACATCTTCTTCCCTCATTGTAGACAAATGTCCCACCATACTCACATTAGCAATACTGTAGCAGCAGAAGATTTAGTTCTTTAAATTTCACTAGGGTTGCTCTTTATCGCAAGTTATGGAGTTAATCATCTGAGGCCATTTGGGTCATGCTGATTTATGCCTAGTTTTGTTTTTGTTAAACATTATCCTGGGATGAACTGTGACACTACAATCTGTGTGAGCAGATTAAAAAAAGCAAGTGCAAACAATATGTTTGCGAGCATCCCCATAAACACATGAAGCCTTTTCAATTGTTTATTTTCTCATTCTTCTCTGAAACTGATGTGGGAAATACTACATGGAATAAATGTTAAGTAGTCTGTTTCAGGACCACACATAATTGGCAATTTTGAGCAGATATTGATCATATAATAATTTATGTGCCATTAGTATAATTTGGTAAACTTCTTTTACATATCCTTCATATATATCAATGGGAAATCATAGAGTTTCATATGTTAATACCAGACATGTAGTTGTTTTGCTAATTTTGCATCTTCAAGGATTGTTTTTTTAAAAACTTATTCATCCTTTTAAATTTATTGTAACACTATGGGTTGATATTTATTGTGTGATTTAAGTATGGTCATTTGCTTATTGTGCTCTGGGAAATGAAATCAGGTGTCTAAACTTCTGATTTGTTTTGATAACTATAAAAGTATGAGGTAATAATGAAAGAAACTCTTTTTAGTAAACATAACTATATTTTAAAATCCCAGGATAAAATTCAAGATAATGTTTCCATCGGGGATCTTGATGTTAATGTTTTTAGCTATCTTTTTTATTTATTTTATGTGCTTTTCTTGATGGAGACAAATTATAAACATTTTGAATAATAGCAATCTCTTTTCCCAGTGGAATATCCTTAGGATGCAGAATTCTCATTTAAAAATAGTTTCATATTCAGCCTTTTCTGTTTTTTAGAAAGATGATTTATCTAGAGATTCTTCTCATGCCATTTCTGCATGCTAGATGGCTATTGGTTAGATAAATTATTGGCATTTCCTAGTAACATACTACTGCAAGATTATTATTGTATCTACTCCCATACTCAGAATACAGAATAAAAAGTATTGTGGTCCCATTCCCAATCATTAGAATGGCTAAGAATAAACTATAATTGTACCAAAGTTACAAAAGGAAAATTTCCAAAAATGTGTTGTGGATCACAAAATAAATGCAACATTTACTAAATGTTGGTTAATATTAGGATTCTAGATTACATTGACAGTTTTCTCTCTCTCTGGCCATAGATAGGTAGTGGTTAGTGCAACATTTTTGTATCTAGTTACATTGACTAGCAGAAGACAGGCATTACATGACTGATTTTGTGCCAAGTTTCCTAGAGTTCAGTTCCTGGCTTGAGGATCTGAAGCCCATAGCATAACATCTACCTACCCATGTCCCCTAAGTTCAAATTGTATAAGACTGGTCACATAATGCCTCTCACCTCCTGGCGAATAAAATAGAAAACAACACAAGAGATATATAGTGTGTAAAAATAACAAAATTTTCTTCTCCCTTCTAGGTGGTGGTAGTGGTGGAACTAATATAGAGGCATTGCATAATGATACATCTTTATTATTGTGATCTGAGGGTTAAGGGAAGATGAACTGTGTATACCATTTTGATAATTTTATGTCTAAAAGATCTGTGGGTGTGTGGAAAGCTAATGAAGTTCTGAGCACAGCCAGTTAAGTCCTAGACTAGTCTGTCACAGATATTGGTTGCTAGGCAGATTGAGATAATTAGTTAAATACAATTAGAATTTTGACCAAGAAATAAGGAAACTTTTATCTTTGGATGTCCTCGTCTATTGGGGGCTACAGGTCCCTAGTGGATAGGATTAAAGCAAGCAAAAAGTTTCTTTAATATAAATATAGCTTCTCTTTCTGAGGATCCTTCTTTTTTCTTTTGACTCATCTTTTGTCTGATACTCTCTTATTTCACTTGTGATAAGCAGCAACAGAAGGGGCAGTTTTGTAAAATGCTTTTAAAACTCAGCTAAGAGCTATGTTAAATTAGTTGAGAGATATATATAGTCCTAAGGTTGCAGATTATTCAGTCCAGTTTACACTAAAAAATTGAAAGCCTTTCCCTAGTGTTTATTAATATTTTTGTGATATATTTATATATTATTGCAAAACATTTTCATTTCATTATCAGAGACTATTTTAGTATGTTCCTGTAAAGGACATTCCTCCTGCAATAAGGACACTTTATCAAATATGGAAATTCATGTGAACTCATTTTTTTCCTGATTTTTATTGAACAAGTGAACAAGGTCACATGCAATTCAGAAACCAAGGGCAAGTTACTGTGGAGCACCAATATCGGGGAGGCCAAGCAACATGCGAAGTAGTGATGGTGGTGCATGTGAAGATTGAATGGGAGTTGGATTTATCTCAGGATTTCACAGTTAATTTCATTTCAGGGCTATAGCACATTCTGCTCTTTTGGATATTTGTCTTTCAAACTGAAATAATAACAATCCATATCTGTCTGTGTTAGTTAAATATTTACAGCTATTGTTTATAATCACTTTCAATTGTGACTCCTAGAGGCATTAGAGCATTCCTCCTATATAAAAAGGGGAAAAACATTTCCCAATATTTCTGTAAGTGTAGAATAAAGCAGTTGGCATTACTTATCCTTAACAGTTACTCTTGGAATTCTGAGAGTAAAAAATAGGTTCTTCAGATGATGTTTGTTAAGAACATAGATTTTCCATTCATTTTGGAATAAGATTTTGGTAACATATATGGATATGCACCTCAAAACATTCCATGAATATTTTGCCTTAGGGAAAAATTGAATTTATTCTGACTGATTTAAATCTTAAGAGGTTCATATTTCTTTAGTGCCATAGCAAATGAGTTTATTGGCAGGAAATCTGCAAAAACAGCGATGCGAGAAAAAATAAGATGGCTTAGAAAGTAAATTTACTTCATTAAAATAATTGCTTGTGTGTTAAACTTGTGTTGAACATACTAACTCATGATCCGGGGCAAGGGTGGGGAGCAATATGTTTATGTATCCTATAAAAATAATTGTAATAATTATGTGCTTCAATTACATATATGAAAGTAACTGTTAATCTGTTATAATTAATAATTATAATTATTATTAAATTTATGTGCCATCCATCTTGCAGTTTGCAGAGATTCTGGCCATCTTACAGTATAATTAAATGTGTTACCCAATAATTTTGATTTACTGGAATAGATCTGAGAAAGCTGGCATTCTGGACAAGGTCAATGAGAAGCTAAGTTAGCAAAGATGCTAATGGCTTTACTTAGTAATAGTATACTTCTAGTCAGTGTTCATGTCTATCGATATAGTGTTCACAGTGATGTTTTACAGCAATCAGCTTCAACCTGGCATTTTCCACATGTATTGAGACTGCAATTCCTCAGAAGTTACAGCCAGAATGGCAGGGTTTTTAGAAGTTAAATTTGCATCAGGCTTGAAGGCATCAGCTTGAGGAAGATTATTATGTACATTAGAATATTTATTAAAATTCTGCCCATTAGTGGAAATTTCAATAGATTTAAAATATAAAATGAATTAATTATAAAGGCAAGGCAAGGATGAATGGAAGTGTTCCTCTGAATTTTATATATAGCTGTACTTTTGTAGCTCATGTCAAATTTCAGAAAAAATTATGGCTGCCTCAGCATTTGCCAAGTGTATGGCAAGGCTTCCTCATTTGGCTGCCATTGGAGATAATGCTTTGGATCTAGTGAATAGATACTTTGAAGAAACAAAGATGGTTAAAATTCCTTCCTGTAATTATATTATCAAGTTATAATATGGCATCTTTCAATAAAGAAAAAATTATCTAATATTAAATGATATACATGTGCAAATTGCATACTTTATTAGATAACCCAGATACTTTTCATTTTAATAGATTTACCAGTTTCATCTAGGCAAATGGACCACTTCTGATATAATTGCAGATAAATTCTAATGGCTAGTGTAGATATATAAGCATATCAACTACCGTAGTTGCTCAGAGATGAAGATTATTGTCTAAAAGTTCAATCTTGAGGTAGTATCCAAAGACACATTTATATTTATACAAAAAACATTGCTTCATTGTAAATTCAGATTAAAGTTGCTATCTCTGAAGCCTATGAAAGTTCCATATAACTGTATTACAGTCATTTTTAAATTTTTAGCAATTCAAAATGTCAGCCTCATTAAATTAATTTTTGCATAGTATTTATAATTTCAGCTGAAGTGTTTCCTTCCTAATTTGTTCTGTTTTTTTTCTTTGCATTTCTGATACATTCTTTCCCAGTCTTCATTGCTATATCCTTCCTTTCCCTTTCCCTTTTTCTTTTTTTTATCAACTACTTTATCACTTCTTCCTCTTTTATCTTATCTTCTAGTTCCTACTAACAGTCTTAACTAGTAATGTCCAAACATTGGTTTAGTGTATCATCTACTCTTTGTTTAAATTAGGTGGTTGTATCTCTCTCCCTCCTCTCTCTCTTTCCTACTCCTTCCTACCCACATATCTCTCTGAACCTCCATTTGTTTTTCCTGTCTCTCTTTCCCCAGTATTGTTCTGTTTCTTTTCAATTTCTGTTTCTGTAACTAAGTTATATATTTAATTATTTAGTTTAAGTCTGGAGTGATAACTAGAATGTAAAACAGGCTGGAAAACTGGTACCAAGTCCACTGCACATGTCTCAATTTAGAAAAAAGATAACATTGCAATCTGAGCCTTCTCCCATTCACATTGTACACTCAATTGGCTGGGTAAACCTCAATATGTTTCTGTAAAGATGTAGGGGAGGACCATGAACAAATAGTGTTGTGGGATCACAAAGAGATTGAACAGGGCCCCTGTTCAGATGATCTGCAACAGAACAGATCTTAGGTTCAGCAGGTCTAATTTATAATACTCTTGAAGTTGAAATTCGGTGAGGTTAATGTTATTTTACTGGCATAGTATTCTCTAAATAAATATCCTTTCCAGTTGGTGATTGGCCAAGTTCTAAGAATGTTGCTGCTGAAAAATAGTTGTGATAAAATCTAATAACTATGTTGTGGTTTTTTTATTCGGGCATAAATGAAAAGCAGAACAGAAAAACAACTTAAAATCTTATATACTATGGACTTGTATATCTTAGGTTCATACAAAATGTTCCTGATGCAGGGAAAGTTAGGCACTTTCCAAATGTAACTTTTTCACACATGTGGCCATAAAAATGTCTCAAAACTATTCATTCTTTTTTTTTTAACTCTTTGAATCTCTTTCAAAGGTTTTGGGAAAGACACTGTTTCAACCAGATGCAAGAACATTGCAGTAATAGGGCTGTTTTAATCATCTTGAAAGAAGAAGGAACAAAGACTAATTCCTTTGAACAAAAAATATTCATATGAAAGACAAACAAAAAGTCATTTGAAGGATTTTTAGAAAATGCTTGAAAACTAGTGTGGGGCAATTCAGAAAAACAATCCATTGTTAGCATGAAATCAAACGTTATGGTATGTAAAGCATAAAATAGGAACAAAACAGCTCTATTACACAAAAATAAAGTGAGAAGCACAAAAAGAAGTTTGCTTGCCAACAAGTATGCTTTCAGTTTTGCACTGTCTTGTTAGCATAGTGTTATTTTGAGTCTAGAAGCAAAGGTTTCCTCATTTTCACTTATACTATATTATTGATTCCCAGTGCCTTTTGCAAAGATTTCACAATGTTACAATGTAGCTTGTTCAAATGTCTTCCAAAAGAATTTCTAATACAGTTAAGCTTGCTTCACTTTTTCATTTTTTAGTTGTAATAATGTAGTAAAAAAATAACACTTAAAATAAATGTAGGCCTTTAGTTCTGAAAATTATCTGAGATGTTCATATGTTTGTCCCAGATCAGACTATTAGTTGTTAATATTTTATGAACCACTGTCATATTTCTGTATTTCATTTGTATTGATTTATTCCTCAAGTACATGACTCTGGGCAACTAACAATTAAAAACAAGAAATAAATTGCAAATAACATGAATAGCAGCTGAGCAACCAATCTACAATAATACTAAAAATCATCCCAGTTAACACAGCCAAGAAATGGGCTCACCCACACCGTCAGGGCCTCAGGCTTGATGGCAAAAGTTGGTATTTTAGGCCTTGCAAAAAGCCAGCAGGGTTGAGGTGAGTCTGAGGACAGATGCCAAACAGAAAAGGCTCACTTTTTAAAACTGCATTTATTGTATTATTATTACAAATGTCCATTACCAGATGCTGACTGGACATTTAATTCTAAATTTTGTTTAATATTCCAAACTGAGATATGTTCGTCTCTTGAACCTTTGGATTTTAAATTCTTTTAAGATATATAGCCTTTTCTTTTTAAATTTGTGCCTTTCTTCCAGGAGCTCACACAGTATACATAGCACACCTTCCTATTCCTTCTCCATAAACTTGGAATAGATTGAAGTGGGTTAGTTCAGAAACACCAGCAGCCAGAAGCACCTAGCTTCTCTGTCTGAAGCATGTCTTGAATGTAGGTCTTCATTGTCTTACTCTAACTACATCATCCTGGCTATCACATTGATAGGATAAAATTGCATATGGTTTTGCTTAGAACAAAAGCAGATGGGAGGGATGTTGTCCAACGATGATTTACCGGAATTTGTCAAGCTTTAACCTTCAAATCATACCTCCCCCATAAGAGACCATCTAATAAATATAAACACATAAAAATGCTTTTTCAATATTTTTAAGTAGCTGAAATGCTTTATAAGAACTGTACCTAGAGCTGATTCATTTCCCCTGAGTCAGAAAAGCCTCTTTTATCTGTCACCTTTTGTATGTGTGTGCGGATTAGATTTCTGCATTGTTTTAGATTTGAACTGTTTTTAATTATAAAATAAAGTTTTACAAATCACTTATATCAGGAACAAGTAACTTGCCCTGATTTTAAAAAAAAATATGATTTGTCTTTTCTCTGGATTCTGGAGAAGACTTTTTTCCCATTCTCTCCCAACCATTATTTATTATGTATTTTATTTATTTTATTAATTTAATTTATATCCCGCCCTTCTCCTTACGGACTCAGGGTTAGGGTTATGGTTAGTTGGTCATGGTTTAAGCTTAGCATGTTAATAGCTAGGTCACTGCATATTTTATTAAGTAGGGAATTATAAGCAGGAGATAGATTTGGTACTTTATTCAGTCCAGAGAGGCAATGAAAAGTAAATTATATTAGTAACAATACATTGTCAGAGAATATTCATAATAAATTCTACAGTGAATTTTGAGGGCATTACTGATCTTTCTTCGGAAGTTATCAATCTGTTTTACAGATTCTAAAGATGAAATGCATTCGGCTTACATATCAGTTACAGTTCAAAAGGCATTAAAGGTCATATAAATTTAATAAATAAATAAAATAGTTTATTAAAAGATGATATTATTTCTTCTGTTTACTAAGAAAATATTTGTATACATTCATAAATTATTAATTCGATATCTTCACTTCATCAAATAAGCACATAGTAAAGGAAATCCCAGGTATTTTCTCAGCAGCATAACTGGGAGAAATAAAAGATAGAAATATTAAAAGCAAAATAATTTTGTTGGAGCAAGTTAGAGGAAAATATTAAGAGACAAATTGGAACAAATAATTCATATGGAATTAATATTATATAATGTATTTTCTATTGAACAAAAGGGAGACAGATATAAGTCCATCCTCAGCCATGGATGTTCAGTGAATGATCTGGGGCCACACTTTGTCTCAGCCTACCTCATAGGCTAGTTGTGGGAAGAAAATTGGAAAAGAGTATTCTATACATCACTCAGTGCCTTTTTATAGCATTTCTTTTTGGTGGGGGAGAAGTGAGTGAGAAAGGGAGAGGGAGAGAGAGAGAGAGAGAGAGAGAGAGAGAGAGAGAGAGAGAGAGAGAGAGAGAGAGAATTCCACAACCTAAATTGCATCCTTTGGCTGTATTTATGTAATTGCTAACATTGAGTGATTATAATTTGCAGCTGTAATCAGTCCTCGAGAAATGAATCAACCTGATCCAATAGAAGAAGCACTTCGAACACAAATTGAACAGAAGAAAATAAGGTTCTCTTGGCTTGATTATTATACGTTAAAAACTTAAATAAGTATGTATGTTTCTTGTATACAGTAAGTTGCTGAAGACTAAGTAACATGTATACATTTCATAAACTGTATGCAATTAAGTTAGCTTAATACCTGTCTACATAGGGGCCATATTTCAGCAATGGGAAAACATAGATTTGGCTAGATTGTCAGTCCATTTAAGAAAGATATTAAATGTTTCTTTTCCCATAATTAGCTAAATCCCTTTTCAAGAAGAGTCTCCCCAAACCTTGGTGCCAATTGGCTGCTTTGGGTTTTTTGCTAAACTGAAACACAGACATAGTGGCAAGAGAACAGCTGAACGTTGTTCTAAGGGCAAAGACCAAGGTCAGAGCAGATGAGAAAATCCAAAGCAGGATGGTGAGACGGAAATCAAAGAACTATAGAGGAGATCTCATTCAGGCAACCACTTCTATAGAACTGAATAAGCTTGAGTTCTCAGAGCCCTTCTCAGGACTTAGGGACAATTTCTAAAAATAGACTTGGAGAGTTCCTGCTTACCAGAAGGATCTAATTCACGAACACTTATTTATTCAGTGAGAATTTGGCCTTTCCAATGGTCATTTCTTTGACAGATGAGCAAGTTGCTAATATTTGGGGAAAGTCTTTTCTATTCATATCCTACATGATAAATTTACCAGACTTTATAATTTTTTACAAATAAAGAACAAAGAAGAGAGAAATATCCAACAAGGAATAAATCAACTTGCAATGTGTGAGCAGGTAGTAAATGGTGAGAGATGTTCACTTCTACAAGTTAGTTGCATCTTCTGTAATAACTTTTTCTTTTCCATTTTGCAGTTATAAAACAGTGTTTACTCACTTGAAAGGGCTGAAGATAGAGATCGAACACTTGCAGCTCCTCATGGAAAAAGCAAAACTGAAGTTGCAAAAAGATTTTGAAGCTTGGTGGTCTGAGGAAACAATAAGCTTGCAGGTATTTAGGTGTCTTTATTTTCATTTTCAGAATAACTTTTACATTTGTCAGATGAAAACAAGATTGGGATGTCTGAGTTTGATAAAATATTTGAATGCAGACTTTGCCTCCTTAACGTGACACAAAAGCAGTAATCATTCCACTTCTTCTAATAAAGCATTTTAACTTTCCAGATCTTAAACTGTGTAAAAAAAATAAAATAAAAAATAAAATAATAATAATAATAATAATAATAATAATAATAATAATAATAATAATAATAATAATAATAATAATAATAATAATAATAATAATAATAATAATAATAATAAAGTTGGAAGGGACCTTGGAAGTCATCAAGTCCAACCCCCTGCTCAGGCAGGTAACCCTATACCATTTCGGACAAATGGCTGTCCAGTTTCTTCTTAAAAACTTCCAGTGTCAGAGTATTCACCGCTTCTGGAGGCAGGTTGTTCCACTGGTTAATTGTTCTAACTGTCAGGAAGTTTCTCCTTAGTTCTAGGTTGCTTCTCTCCTTGATTAGTTTCCACCCGTTGCTTCTTGTCCTGCCTTCAGGCGCTTTGGAAAATAGCTTGACTCCCTCATCTTTGTGGCAGCCCCTGAGATATTGGAACATTGCTATCATGTCCCCCCTCGTCCTTCTCTTCATTAAACTAGACATACCCAATTCCAGCAACCGTTCCTTATATGTTTTAGCCTCCAGTCCCCTAATCATCTTTGTTGCTTTTCTCTGTACTCTTTCTAGAGTCTCAATATCTTTTTTACATCGTGGTGACCAAAACTGGATGCAGTATTCCAAGTGTGGCCTTACCAAGGCATTGTAAAGTGGTATTAATACTTCATGTGATCTTGATTCTATTCCTCTGTTAATGCAGCCTAGCACTGTGTTGGCTTTTTTGGCAGCTGCAGCACACTGCTGGCTCATATTTAAATGATTGTCCACCAGGACTCTGAGATCCCTCTCACAGTTACTACTATTGAGCAAGGTACCCCCTATACTATACCTGTACATTTGTTTTTTCTTGCCTAAATGTAGAACCTTACTTTTTTCACCATTAAATTTCATTTTGTTAGATAGCGCCCAGTGTTCAAGTCTGTCCAGATCTTCCTGTATCCTAAGCCTGTCTTCTGGAGTGTTGGCTATTCCTGCCAGCTATGCCTCTAAGTGACCAATCATCTAACCTCAACTGAACTATTGAGAAAGTTTGAAATTTGAATTTGTCATTTCAGTGAATCAAGAATTTCCAAATTTAGTGATATAATGAGATAATATACATAAAATTATGTGGAAAGTTAGAATTCAAAGTAAAGATTTCAATATTTAGATTTCAACATTAATGAGAGTTAGCCTCAGGTTCATTCCTTATCCTATGGTTTCTTTAGAGCCAAGAAGAAAAGCCACTTTTGCAGAATTCAGCCAATTTTCTAAAGACGCCTCCCTTGTTTTTTGAAAATCAGGTACATCCAGGTACTATCAGGTAAGATGGTTATCTTTCTGCATGTGTTTTTTCTGATATTTCTGCTTTTCTGAGTGAACAGTAGGCAAAGTGATGTACCAATTTTGTATGGCCCTTTTGTAAATCAATACATAAGTGTTCCATGCAATGAATCCATATTGTGAATTCAGTAAGAGCAGAATCATAGAGTTTGAAGATATCTGCAACATAAGATGTAACCTGATTTGTCCTCTATTTAAATATCTCCTGCTCCAGTACTTTATATGTTGCCTGACACAGAATAGATTGAAATTATTACCTCTTATAATCTGCATATTATTTTTCTATTGGTCCAGTCTGGCCCATATTTTATGAACTGATAAATAAGGATTTCATTTTATGTATTTATTAGGTTTCTAAGCTGCCACAATCATATGAATCTAAGCCATGTACAGAAATATTATGAATTTAATAAAATGTCCACAGATTAATTATGATAGATTTTATAGAAAAATTAAAACCAACCTAATTGAAACAATGGAAAAATTCCTATGACATTATGTCAGCTAATTTAAAAAAGCTCTCCAGAAGATCTCTGCTTTACTTGCTTCCATAAGTCAAAAACTGTTAGGGCTAACTGTTAGGTAGTTTCTTGGGAAAGGTTGTTTCATAATATAGGAATCATCATAAAGAAGTTCTTCCATCTGGCTTCAGTTTTCCTGACTTCGTGGTAATAGGAAAATAGAAGCAATTTTTCCCACCACTGCACTTTATAATAATTCCTGGGCTGTTGCATTTTGAACCAACTGAAGTTTCCGAGTTGTCTACAAAGGCAACCATTTAAGCATGCACAATTAAGTATTTAAGTAGTCAATTTCATATAGGTAAAGCAGCTTTAGTGTAAGCAAATATATTTGCTAAAAAGGGTGAGGGAAGGGAGGATCTATTGGTGTTTGGAAACTGAAATGCAGTAGTTAGCACTATCCAATGAACACTCAGTGGTTAGTGGATGTTAGCCATTGCTGGATGTTATTTCTGACCACATTTTCTGTGGCAGTGCTATCATTCTTTCTCTCTTTTGTATCAACTTTCTCAGTTTTTGTGATGCCTGGTGCTCAACATATTAATTAATACATTCTGGGATTCTGTGGTTTTGACTTCACATGCTGTTATCTGAGGATAATAAACATAATTTGTAATTCTGAATTTTACAATTAAAACATATTGCCAACTAATTTTGTATGCTTTAATAAATAATGACAGCATAAGCTGGTTTGTAGCTTTGCTAATGTCAGTTTTCCATAACTCTCAGTGTCTGTTACATTATCCTTCCACTCCTCTGATTTTTTTTAAAGATACTCATAATAATCAAGATTTTTTTTGTGCCTCATCAACTTTTATGTTATAGTACAAAAAAGTGTAATTTTATTTTGCATTAAATGTTTCTAATCAGCACAATCTCAAAGTAAATTCTTCCAAGGTAATTCTCAAGAAGTCTAGTATACCCTTCTAAGAAGTGCACTTACACATAAAGCAAAAAATGTTCCCTTCTACACATTTAAATCCTTAATGAAGGAGTTCATAATATTCTGGGAACATCTATGTAAACAAGAAAAATCAGAAACGATAGTAGTGATTACTGCTGTAAAAGTACGTATGTAGATCAATATATTTTATGGAGTTCATTTCCAGTCTTGAACCAGCTCATGTGACTTTTTTTGATATGCTAATTGTATGGAATGTCTAGAGATTATGTACTAATTGACATGCATATTTTTATGACTATAATTTAAATATATGGTGCAAGCAACACTTACTTTGGCAAATGCATTCATGGCTAGGGATTTTTGATGTTGATTTTAGTCTCATTTTTGGCCTCTACGTCCCTTAGAGGTTATGATTATGATGCATGTTGAAGATAAGAATCCAAGACCATGAATCAAATGTGAGATTTTGTGAGAGGCAGACTTGGAGTTTTGTTTTTATTTGCAGACATATGAGATCTGTGTTGTTACACTTGCAATGACCCTTTTAAGTTTTCTATGAACTTTTGTCTTCAGATATTTCAAGAACTTTTGTATTATTGTGTGTTAAGCCTCATGCCCATTTTTGCAGCTATGTTCTCAATGTTACAAGCAAAGAATTTGTAATGGAGCTCTTGACATTGTGATAGAGAACAGCAACTTATATCCCACTGTGCTGAAAATTTATTCTAGACCTCTTGAAACCTGTTTGAGGCATTAACAATTCATAGCAAGGTTTCTGGTTTCCTACATTTAAGGATATAAAATAACAAAACACCCACTTCCTAAAGAGTCCATTGAATCTCAGTGACACAGTGAACTTATTTATTCATTCTCATAGTTACATATGATGAGATCTTTGGGCTTTTTATTTTTCTTCAAAACCTTGGAGTAAAACACAAAAAGCTCTTTGTTGCTAAATCCATCCAGAAGCAAACTGGTAATTTACTCAATGAACAGGATTTAACCATAATCTTCTATCTGTCAAATAAATTGTAATAGTAAAAGTTTACACGAAGCATATGGTATATAATAGTTACTGTCATTCAGTATTTAGTTGAAGGAATTTAGATAGCAGAAGAGAATATAAAAGTAGGCCTAATGTAAAAACCATATGAATATACTTCTACCATTGAAACAAGGATAACATAACTTTTTATGACAATTTAGTCTGTAAACACTTGTACTTAAACACTTTTCACCACTCTGAGATATAAAAGATGTTTCAGTGCCTATTACAAACTATAATATATAAACAAATGGTGTCACTTTTAAATATTCTGAAATGTACATAGAATTTGTAGCATTTAATTTGATGTGTACACAGATGTTGGCGTCTGACAAATAATAATAATAATGCTACTCAAGGAATATAATCACTATAGATTTTTAAAATTATTTTCCTTTATATTTTAAAAAAATTCCTAACTATAGAACTGTTGAGAACTAAGTCTATATTTATATAAGTAATATCCAGTAGAAATATCTTGGTATGTAATTGGAAAGTAAATTTGATGTTTTAGGACAAATCTTTCTGTCATGTCATAGATGTATTGTTTTCAGAGCTTTTTTCAGATCCCCCAGTAAAGCCCATTGAAATTCAACCCCCAAAATTTGCCATTGATATGATGGATCAGAAAAGGTAACATACTGGGCCAATCCCTGCCCCCATCCATGATGCATCTGACTCACCATCAGAGGAATCACATCAGTCTATCCAATAAAAAAATAGTCAATATGGTTCTTGTTAGGAGCTTAATGCTATGAGTTCTCAGACTAGAGTATCAGGGCAATAAGCCAGAGCTGCACCTGTTCTGTTTTTATGAGCAACTCTGAAAATGAAATACCATCACTAGCTATGCTGCCAGTTTTCCTCAGGTAGCACTAGCACGTAGACTTATATACCTCTTCATAGTGCTTTACAGCACTCTATAAGTGATTTACAGCGTCAGTGTATTGCCCCCAACAATCTGGGTCCTCATTTTACCAACCTCAGAAGGATGAAAGGCTGAGTCAACCTTGAGTCGGTCAGGATCGAACTTCTGGCAGTGAGCTGAATTAGCCTGCAATACTGCATTCTAACCATTGTGCTACCACAGCTCCTGGTAAATCTTTTTGGAAGATGCACTAAGATGGCCCTAAGCTCCAGTTATTGCAGATTGTAGAGTCTATCTGCATAGGCACCCCCACCTCCTGTGCTCACTCTGAAGAACCACTCAGGCTAAACATGATGAATGAGTAAAATGGCAAGGAGCAACAAGAGGTTTTCTTGGTCACCACAACTCAATTTTTTTAGTGTCACTAAATTTGTCACTGAACTAATTCCTTCAACAGACATACATGAGCAAAAGTCCAATTAGCAACAAATCAGGTGTTGAAGCTTCACTGTTAATCGTAGCAGTGGCTCTTCCAGTGACCATTTCAATGATAGCAATAATAAGCAACACAAATGCTGATATTAGACCACTACATTCCTTCACAATTGCCAGTATTTCTTCATGGAGTATTCCTTTCTTTCAAGGTGAATTAAGCCAGGGAAATTTAAATCACTGATTTAAATCAGTAGGTAAAAAGGCCGATTTAAGCAGCCCTTCAGCCAAGACCGCCACTGATACTGCTTTATATATTATCTATTGTTGTAGGTCATTAGATTCTAGGTATATAATACTATATACAAACTTCAGATTATTGGTCATACTTTTTTATTTTTTTATTTTTACATCCTGAAAGTGGCAAACCTAGTATGATACGTGATTGGAAATTTAAAGGTATGTGGGATTCTAAAAATACAATATCATAGTTTTATAATTTCTTGCAATAGAATGCTACAGTATATAGAAAAATGTAATTTATCTTGTCATTATGGATAAGATTTTCTGTGCCAAGTAACCTGAGTCTTTCAGTGTAACTATTTCACAACCATCAATTTTTTATGTTTTATTATCCTTAAATTGGAATTAGACAGGCTTGTCTTACAAAATAAATGATGCTTTTAAATCAAGAAAGGTCTTTGACAGCACTTCAAAGAGAAGGCTATCCTCTGTATGCTGAGATACATGGCTGTTCTATTTTTGAAATATATCATAGTTTCATGTTGTCTTCTCTTCTTTCCAATTGTCTTCTTCTCTGCTTCACTTTACCTCCAGGTAGTTCTACTTTTTGAGAAACAACAAACAAAACTAATTACATTTAGTGACTAATAAATTACTTGCCAGAATAAAGCAACTTAATTTTGATCAGGTAAAAATGAAATGTCCTTATTTGATAAATGAAGTAAAAAAAAAACTTTGAGAAATTAAATTCTTTTTTCATTTACATAGAAAAACACCTTAGTGCAGGGGTCCCCAAACCCGGTCCGTGGACCAGTACCAGGCCGTGGCATGTCAGCAACTGGTCCGCACAAACAAGCAAAGCCCCATCCGCGAGATGCAGGCAGCACAGAAAATCACACACCCTCCAGTCCGTGGAAAAACCTCTCTCCAGGGAACTGGTCCCTGGTGCCCAAAAGGTTGGGGATCTCAGCCTTAGTGGCTTCTTTCATGTAATACCCTTAACACTGATATCCAATAATTTGAATATAGTTACCTTACTGCCAGCACACAATTACACTAACCAGGTCAAAGGCCATCATTTTAGGAAATATAGAAGTCTCCACATGTCCTCCAATCCTGATTGTTATCCAATGAGTCCTTGTATCAGAAGAATATGAACAAGATTTCAGTAGCCTAATATTCCATTCTCCATTGTTCATTCAGACTAGTGTGAGTAAGAAAGGAAATGGGGGAAAATTAGTACTCCAAACCCTGGTTAACCCAAGTTCTCAGTGCATCTCTACCATATAATTGCAGACCTGGTTCTTCCATTCAACTTTTATGACACATTTAACAAACTAATGATAGAGTCTGTACTATATGTATTTTAAAAACAATCTCCTGTAGGCACTGTGGGATTAAATCAATGCTTCCCAAACTTTTTTCGTTCATTACCCCAAACTGTCTATCAGAAAATCTTTTTTACCCAATGGAAGTAAAACACTTTAAGTCAGTTTAAATGTCCCTGCTGTGATTGGGTAATGGATTTGTGTGTCATTATTCAAATAAAAAAGCACTTTTACCAAATTTTGGATAATGTACCCAGATTTGGGAAGCACTGGGTTAAAAGCTTGTTCCTGCTTTCTCAGCTGTATAGGCAGGAAATCTTTGCTTTAGTGGTCAAACGTCTTTGACCCTGTTCTCCAGTTAGGGAGAAATGCTTTCTTGGCTCTTCTGACATTATTAAGAGATGGTATTTTCCATTCCATCTTTATTTATTTATTTATTTTGGTCCACACTATTTGGAATTCAAAGGGATGAATTTAATTTCAGCACAGAAAAATAAGAATGCCTCAAGTTTGCCATCTAGTGGTTAAATCTTAAAATAGGCATTTACATTTTGAATTAATGTTTAAAATAAGGATATAATGGTCAACCTCAATGCTAGATTTAAAGTCATCCATAGTGCTTTGTCTTTTTGTTTCTGAGACATGTATAAACAGGAATTAGGATTGCTTGCATGAATAAAATATATGAGATCTGTTAAAAGGTACAGAAGCAATAGTAAACAGTGAGGAAGTTTTAGTATGCTAACTATTGACATCTACTTAGAAATTGAAGTAACGTATTGTGGCATTACTATAGAAAGTATTGGAGTTGAAATAGGTATAGGAATCAATAAAAACAGTACTGTTATTGGTATCTACTATTGCCACTCAGCCATGATGATTGCTTTCCACACTCAAATTGCATAAAGTAGCTTTCAAATATGTATGAGGTAAATGTAATAGGAGAATTAAATTACCTTGCAACCATAACACTTCCAGGAAATTCCTGGCATATTTTGCAAACAAGTTTCTCCTTCAGAGAATGGAGCAATGCATAAAATATCAGCTGTTCTTGACTTCATACTAAATACTAAGAATAACTTAACTCAGGAAATGTAAATAACAGGACACTAGGGGCAAGTAACCATATTATGCAGAAATTTTCATTTAATAGCAACTAAATGAAGTCAAATGCATAACTTGGACTTAAAAACCATATTTTAATAAATTCATGTATATGTAGGATTCTGTGGTAGATCAGAAATGGAAAATAATCCAAATCATAAAGAAAGAATATGTAGGAATAGTCTGGTTTTGTATAAATAATGTTGAAAACACTGAATTTCAGAATGGGACTGCTACTGGTAAAAGAAACAACAAAAGCTTTCTTAGATATATTTAGAGTAAAACAATCTGGAGCTAAACATGCTTAAAACTGTAGAGACGAGAGTGGATTTTAGGAGGAGCCCTATTATACCACTTCTTAGTATATTTGACAGCATAGTATCAGCAACAGAGTCCTTCAAGTTTTGGGGTTCTATAATCTCTCAGGACTTGAAATGGACAGGTAATATTAGAACCATCATTAAAAAGGCACAATAAAGAATATTCTTCCTGCCTCAACACAGAAAGTTCAGACTGCCCCAAGAGCTGTTGATACAGTTTTACACAGAAATAATTAAGTCTGTCATTTTTACTTCTATAACTGCCCGGTTTGGTACAACAACCAAACAGGATAGGTATAGACTCCAACGGACAGTTAAGATTGTAGAAAGAGAACTCCAACCAGCCTGCCTTTCATAGAAGACCTCTATATTGTTCGGGTCAGGAGGAGGACTGGGAAGATATCTACAGACACTTCACATTCTGGACGTAAACTGTTTCAACTCCTCCCCTCAGGACACCACTACAGGGCATTGCATGTCAAAACAACTAGACACAGGGACTTTTTTCCTCTCGCACCATCTATCTGTTGAATACCTAATTCTCACAATGCTGTCTAATGTCTATATATATTTACCCATGTAGTATAGTGGTAATATTATCATTTATCCTTATTATCTTCTATACTCCACCATTTATTGGCATTACTGTATTATTGTGCTTATTATTATTATTCTGTTGCTTTATGTGTATACTGAGAGCTTCTGCACTGGAGACAAATTCCTTGTGTGTCTAATCACACTTGGCCAAATAAAGTATCCTATCCTATCCTGTCCTGTCCTGTCCTGTCCTGCCCTACCCTATTCTGTGAAAGAAAAAATAATCAGACTATCAGCTTCCTACTGAAGACAGCAAGATGTTATTGAACATAAAGAATATCCTCTTGCTATTCAATACTACTTTCCTGATGTAGCTTATGAACCATGGTGTGATAGCAACTTTCAAGTTTTACTGCATTCAATCACCTTCATGAAGATAATATTTTCTGACAATCAACATTACAAGCTGTACTGAGAACCTCAATGCATACTTTTCAGAGCATGGAATACATAGTGAAAAATGTTATGGTCTTGGGCAGTCACCATCTGCTGCAACTTTTTCTTCAGTAGCAGACATAGTTGAGTGGACTGCTAATCTTGCGTGCAGGTTGTTCATTCAGGCAGCCCCTGAGAATGAAGAAAAGGAGAAAGAGACCCACCCTAAGTTCTTAGCTGTTGTGGAGTTACCTGAGGTCTCTATCTGGGGAATGCATTGCCAAATCAAACGTTTGATCTTGAGAGTAGCAGCAAATTCAAAAAGTCACTGAAGCTGCTTTGCAACCCTAGAACGACTATAAATCTCCATCATCAGCTACTTTACAAACACAGCTACATCATCACAACGGGGGAATCATCAGAAAATGATACCAACACTTTCTGCAGCTTGGAAGATGCATACTATCTTGCTTCCATATTTTGATTTTTCCTATGGCAGATCACAGACTGTAGAGATGGAATGAATGCTTTATTCTGTGTTCTGAGTTCTTCCAGGCTGAATTAGTGACAGAAGGCATTGTAGTGTTTAAAAAAGGGACTAAATGTTCAGACTAAATTATTATTTAAAATAAATGTTAAATGTCCTGATGAAGTCTCTTTAAGAAATGTGTTTAGATGACAAAACTAATTTGATGTCTTCAGCTGTCAAAATATTTAAGTTTTCACTATCTTCATTTTTCATCCTCATGAATTTAAATGGTATTTGAGCAGAGTTTGAAATTACTTTCATAATAAAAACTATGGTTAGACTAATAATGATTGTAGAGTTTTAAAGTGTAAATTACAGTAAGAACACTATAGAATCTCATGAAAGCAAATTATGATTGCAGAATGGGATGTTCACACAATGTACATTATAACTTAATAACAGCATGATGGATAAGCAGGCCCTCAGCAGAATAATTATTATTCAGATACATAAAGAAAACATCCTTATTGTTCCCTTAGGACAGCATTAGAAAAACAAACAATGCTATTTAATGCATCTCAGTGTCCATTTATTAAGTCTTTAAAAGAAGGATTTATGATCGTATTGCCTGCTGTATCACACCAATCTATTTTTTGAATTGGAATCTTTATAAAATTAAATACTATTTTCAATTTTTATTTATTTATTGGGTAGAAAATACCATTTGTAAAATATAGTTTGTTGCAGCAACCTGAAATGTGTTAAATTCTTTCCCTTCCCAGGGTTCCAAATAACAGCAGAGCCAGCTCCAATGAAGAGTCAACCATGAAGAGCAGTGTGAGCAGAGTCAGCAACTCAAATTCAAAAATGAGGTATGCAGTAGTTACATCTTTTGAGAATCTAGAATACTCACTGAAGCTGCCTTTGTCACAAGAGAACAGAGGGAGTAGAGAATGGGGCTGTGCAGGCTGCCCTTGCTCTTGTCACATCTGCATCCAGATGTTTATAGATTGATCTAAATTGGGGAAACTATATGCTTCTTAGCTGGAAAATGATTACATGTAAATTCCTACTTTAAAACTGATACCAAGAAAAGACAAGAGTGCTCATAGTCCCCCCAGGCACTGTTGATTGCATCCATCAGTGCTTCAGATTTGATTTCATAAAGGTATTTGGAGGACAGCTGGAAGAGGATAGATCTGGAATAACATATATCTGCTTTAAGGAGCTCCCAGCACACACACACACACAAGTTCCAAAGCAACGTTTTAGAATAAAAAAACTCCTTCATTTCAGTGGAACTTGTCAATGAGTCCTATCATAAGCTAGGTGAAATAAATAAGCAGAAATCAGATAGGTGAAACTGATACTCTGCATAAGGAAGTTTAATATTCAACTCAGTTTGGAACAGCAAAGACAATTGAAAAATGCACTTGGTTATTTCAGGATTTCTCCAGATCCAAGTTCTACCATCCCCTTCACAGGAGATCGTCAAACTGATGCTGATATTATAGCTTTCATTAGAGCTAGAAAGAACCTCTTACATAAAAAAGGTAATCTTTATTAAATATGGTAGTTGACCAAGTAATTTGTATAATAAGCTTAAAAAATCAGTGTTATCCAGATTTATAAAAAGAAATCAGAAGATTACATTGAAATTATTACATGTTAGTTATCATTTACAGTGTTTCTTTTCTCTCTTAACATACTTGTTTTGGCTTCTAGATGGTGTAGTCTTTTGTCAGGAACCTGTCCTTTCATCATTTATAAATAATGTAATGGAATTAAGAAAGCAAATTCCCTCTGCTATTGTATTATGTGATCTCTTAGATTTTACTTGTGGTGAACCTGGGAAAGAGCTGAGAGAAAACCAGATAAGGTCTTTCACACAGAATCTTTCACAGGTGGGGTAAAAAGAAAGGGGCTAAGATGTTTGTAAGAAATACATTGAACTGGAATCTAAAAGCAGGAGAATAATGAGTAGGAAGTCAAGATGAAATTAGATAGTTTTGAAGTACTGAAAGCATACAGTTACCAGAGTGATTCAAGACCACTTCAGAGGAGTTGGCGTAGAAATCATTTTACAAAGAAGAAAACACAGTATGGAATTTGTCTATCCAATAACAATGCTGTGTACTAAATTCGGAATTTACTTCCTCTGAGGAAGCTTTTTTATTGTCTCTTTTGAATGGTGTATAAATATGGTTTATCTCTATGTTTATGACTGATTTGTCTGAATGCCAAGCTTCTACAAATTCCCTGGGATTTGGGGATTTAGCTTGGTCTAGGATCCTTAAAGGTTCCCCATTGAAACTATGGTTGAATCTGCCCATGTGTTGTGAAATGAGGAGTTTCCATCATGTCTTCTGACTAGTTGGAAGTTGTCTAGTTGGCTGAAATGTATGAAAAGCTGATTAAAACGCATTGTGAAAATAATTTAAAATATTCTTGAAACCAGAGAGAAAAGAAATATTTTAATGTCTTACATCCCTGACAATGTCTCTATAGGCATTAATATATTGTAGAATTTTGAATTAATAAGTAAACAATAATTTTCTCTTTAGCCATTTAATAGAATCAGGGTATGCCAATATGGAGAGTGACAAGTAAATATTGGGAACTATGTTTGTGGGTAGAAGCTCTATCAGACAAGCTATCTCTGTCAGACAAGTTATCTTTTCAAATATCAATGAAAAGTAGCAAATTGGGTGCTCCATTAGGATTTTTTGCTACTGTATACTTTATGCCTTAGAGCAGGGGTGTTAAACTGCTGGCCCACGGGCCGGATGCATCATAGCAAAACTGCGCCCACCCCATTGCCGGCAATGGCAAAAAAGTTGCGATACGTCACGGCATGTCACGTGACGTTGCGAGTTTGATACCCCTACCTTAGAGATTGTCAATGTTTTGTTTTGAGAAAAAAGAAATTAACAGTCATATTGATATTGTGAACCATCAATACTTCTCAAATCTAATGACTCAAAGTAAGCTGAGATAATATCCTAAAAGATGAAGAAAATGATCAGTAAAAATCAATAGAAAGTAACATATTCAAATTAACCAAATTTAACACTACATAGAATGTACTTTTATGTAGCTCTAGAAACAGTATATATATAATGCTCATACAAACTATCTCAGTGTCTTAGATCTATATTCTGAATTGAATTATAATATAAATTGGTTCCTATGAATTTCCTATTATTACAGATAAGTAATTGTAAGTAGGACCTAACTGCATTGGCATCAAAATAGTTACAACTTATATTATTTGCGTAGTATAGAAGGATCCCTGATCCTGGATTAAGTCTGCAAGATTTGTCACATTCCAAATATGAATTAGGTCCTAGATGACAAAAATTTCCATTTCATTCTGGTCATTAAAATTATCAGATGTTAGGAAACATAATATCAGAGAGACAATAGAATCACCTAGTGGTAAAAAAGGAAACTATTAACAAAGGAATAAAAGATTACTTTTAATAGAGGTTTGTAATGACAGGAACAAATTATACAGAATACCTAAAAGCAGCCTAATTACTGAAGCCATAGCTTTCCATCAACTTTTGAGTGCTGATGACAGCATTATTCATCAAGCTAGTAGCACCTGACTTGACAGATGGTGTTAGCATTATCCCACAGTAGTGTTTTAATCTATCTCTTTGGTTATCAGCAGTAATTGTTCGGTGTAAATAGAGAAGTTACAAAACCTTCCTCCATCCAGAGCAAATACTGTATTCTGCTCACTTAGGCTTAAGGTGTCATATGTCTCAGCTTAATGAACTTCTTATCATATAGTTTGGTTGAATTCATGTTTATTCCCCAACAATCATGAAATAATTACAGATTCTCTTGATTTTTAAGCTACCCCATTTTTAGCTTATGAAAAGATGCATGTTTGCAAGAAAAGCAGATCTGACCTTAAATGTACTAACTGTCTAATTTCATTATAGTAAAATAATTTTAAAAAATGTTTATAGGAAAAGTACACAATTAGAGAAACTGGCAGGGCCATTCTAATGTGAATTTCAGCAACTACATAGCATGAACAATCTGAATTGCAAAATAACAGTTAGAAGGGACCTTGGAGGTCTTCTAACCCAACTCCTTGCTCATGCAGGAGACCCTATAAAATTCCACACAAATGGCTGTCCAATCTCTTCTTAAAAACTTCAAGGAATATCTGAGCAAGGAACTTTAGTTTGCTCAGATCTTTTCCATCATTTAACTATAAAATCTGTTCAGTGTACAGAAATTATTTTACTGTAATATAGTTATAAAAATAGCTAATATAAAATTGAGTAATCTTATGGATTCCCTGGACTGCTTCAATTATTACAGATTTCTTACACGGAAGTACTCAGTATTGAAATAATAAAAACTATGATAATATTAAAGAATAGATCAAGAACCTCTAGCATGTGTTCTAAATAATGTATTTTAGGAAAGGTAAATGACAGAATTTTTTCCTATACCCTCCTCTCTCTAAGAGCTAGTTGTGCTCTCCAAAATTTACTTTAGAGCAGGGGTGTCAAACTGCCAGCCCACGGGCTGGACGCATCACGAGGAAACCACGTGTCGGCCCACCCCATTGCCGGCAATGGGGGAAAAGTTCTGGTACATTACGTGATGTCACGTGATGTTGTGAGTTTGACATGTCTGCTTTAGAGGGTCAAAGGAAAATTTCTGAACAATTTGAAATAGGGCAACTGTTAAAAGAAAAAGAAATCATTCAAATTTCTGCTGATCTTCACCCAATTTCCAGCAATTTGTTTCTTAACAATTGTTTCTCACAGACCTGTGGTTTGTAAATGTGCAACAATTGGCTCTGGCAGTTCCATTGCTGCCATTATGCTGCTAGATAGCTGATCAGCATGCTAGTCATAGCAGCTCTGCTCTGCCCTCAACCAGCTCATAAAATTCCAGAAACTTTAACAATAGGCTTTCTTAAACCAGTACAAGCCAGCTCGAGCATACCTGTCCCATGGACTTCCTCACATAGTTCAACTGGATTCCTACTCCATTCATAAAATTTTTCAGTAGGTGAGAACAATCTTCCATGAACTTAATTGATTTCATTAATCTTAGAATCCACTTCATTGTTTATAGAAAAGGAGGAGCTGAACAATGTATAGCTGCTGACCTATCTTGACTATGAACCTGAAAAAAGCTGATTCCCTGAAGATGGCTTGATCAGAATGAAGATGCACATCGTCACTTTCAAATATATAGTTCTAGACAGTCAATATTTGGAGTTTTATCCCTTTCTTTCTGAAGAAAATGCAAGGCGATCTTAAGGGGGTCTGAAGTATCACAGGCTCTCAACTGCACAGAGCTGTTTAAAGCCCCAGTCCAAAAGAAAATAGATTTGTATGGGAGAACAATTCAAGAGATTCTTCCTTTGGAAGTTCCAGGTATGGAAAGAAGATTTTGGCTCAAAGACCTAATTGCCCTCTAGTAGCTTTCAGTCTATCAACCATAGATGAAATTCCATCAACTACAGTGTTTTTTATGATAAACTAATGTTGAAATGTGCAATTATTATAAGTTTCACTCCTACCTGGATGGTTGTTTCCAAAGTATATGGAAAATCTCTATTCTGGCTCATTGCTCTACACTATTAATTGTAATAGTGTTATCTTTTTCTTATGCTATTTAATGGAACACTTCTGAATGCAATCATTCAGGGATTGAATCGAGCCTCTATCTGTCTGCCAATGCCACCTCCACTCTGTTGAATCTGACTACCTGTGTCATTCCATTACAGCCCACTTCTTAGTTGCGTCACCATCTGAGGTAAACAGGCAGTAGTCAGAGAGATCGTTTTTATTGGCTATGGTATTTTGCATGTTAAATGCCATTCTCAGAAGAGCTCACTTGGTACCCAGGCAAGCTACTTCTTAAGTGCCCAGGTTTTTATCAGTTGAATAACTTTTAGCTAATCTTCCATGATTCACCCTGTTTTACATTGCAGATTTTTTTTTCTTTTGAATTTTACCTCCCTCTTTATTGTTATTTTTAATTTTTTTGTTAAAAGTCTGCATGGCCTTGGAAACATTATTAAAAGTCTGCATGGCTTTGGAAAATATTATTGCATAAATTTTCATCAATAAACAGAATTTTGAATAGTATTTAGAGTGCAGTAAGATCTTGTCTATGCCTTTTTGAGAACGTGGTTTCTTCACAGTAAACATTGGAAGAATGGTTTTGATTAATTTAATCATACTGAACTATTAGACTGTAACTTATTATTTTATTCCTACATCTCAGCAATCCAGTAATGCTACCTTAGTAGCCAAGATATAGCCCAATTATATTGTGTGGTATGTACCAAAGTCAGGCCCAGATTTTGGTTAAATTTATGATATTAATTACATATTCAAATTAGTTGCCGTTTTCTGCTAAACACAACTTTACTCATTCAACTCATGATCTTTGAACATTCCTAAGTCCAACAACATTTCCTCTGATATTTGAAATTTTAATGCGATGATCTTCTTTATGTCATCTCTTGGCCTATAGGGCCTGAAGTTTGGTGCATCCTGGAAAGTAACTTCATAAATAGGAAAGAAGCACAGTCTGGGGATGCAGAGGTTACTGGAAGTAATGTCTTCTGCAGATGGTCTAAAAAAGAAGTTGAGGAACACCAAATCTCATGTAAAGATGTGCAGACCTGAGTGATTAAAACAGGAAGATAGTCATGTGATTATAGTCTTTTGGAGTATCTTATTGCATCACTAGCATTTCCTCTTTTGTGAAAAAATAAATAAACTGGAGTTTTAACTATCATTTTTGAGTAACTTTCTAATGTATTTGCTGTCCTGGTATGTTACTATGTTGTTAGTAAATAATTTTACTAACGGTTAAATCTTCATGGTTCTTTGATCATGAAAGGAGCCCTTCAGTCTCTAAGATCACTCTCTGGGTGGCAGTAATACTGTTCTAAAAAAGACCAGATTTCAGATGAGCTCTAAAGATTTGTGATCATTAAACTGTCAATGTGTATAATATGATTCATGTCTGACAGCCTTTTCTTCTCTTTTCAGGATTGGGAGACAACTAAACTCTGATTTATGCAGCAAAGGCCTCATTTTAAAATTAGAAAAAGTAACTATAACTATATAGGACAAATTGAATTGCAGCTGAATTTATGAGGGAGAGAGGGTAGGAGAAAGAGAAAATGAATTTCTGCAAGGAATAGCATTCAACCGGTGTCTTCATTATTTTCATAATATCAAAAAAGTGAAACAAGCTCTAACTTGGAACATCAAGAACAGAAAAGTTTTATTGGTTTTCAAATGTCATCACTACCAAGCCCTGTTTCTGAACCTAACACAGAAGTACTTTCTTGGACTTTTATGAGACAATCTTGGACTAGAACGCTTTATTTGGCTTTGAGGTTGGGAAGGGTTCAGATTGTATATAGTGTCTCACCGAGAACTGCAGATATCTTTTTTTTTCCTAACTGTAATTTAGTATTGTTAACTAAACTAGCATTTTTTAAATTACATACATGGGGATCATGTACTGAATTGTATTTCCAAATGTTATTCCCCCCCCTAAGATTTCTATAATTGCCTTTCAGGTGCTGGAATCCTGCATCTTTATGGACCGACTTTTCTTCTATGCATAGTTATTGTCTGAGAATATTGTGCTCAAAAGTTTGCTTCTGTGTGTCATTTGAATAACAGTTATTCCCTTTTATTAAATATAAAAACTACTAGAATATTCTATTGCATAATACAAGTCAGAAAAATATGTTGATATTCCTTTTTTCCCCCTCTTGAATCTGTAGCCTAAAACTATTAGGAAAGATATTTTATTAAGGTGCTTTTAATATTTGTAACAGCTGGCCTTCAAGTATGTTGGCTGTATAGAACATCTTCATTTAATAAAAGTAAAGCAAAATAATGATAGTCACTTAGAGATACAGATCTTGTTTGCTGAATCATGAAATATGAACTTGGACCATGGGTTATACTGTGGTTAAAGGTGGGTACCTTGAATGTAATTTTAAAACATGGTTCCTAGTAATAATTTCAGCGATGGTTCCATTTGTCATCTAAAGGTGATTGGGATTAGCCTGTTTTATCTTCCTTTTCTGTCCTCTGAATGTAAACCCAGTGAAAGAAATCACCACAAATGGGGCCACTTCTCCACTGTTCCCAGCTCCATTTTCACCCCCAATGTATCTTCAGGGGCGAGCCAGTAAAATGAACACCATAAAATGGAGACTGAACATTAGGCTGTTTTACCTTTCTCTGAACTCATTATAAATTACTGTGTCTTCCTTCAAATGCAGTGACCAGAACTAGACCAATAAAGCAGAATTATTATTTTCCGTAACCAGGAAACTATAGCTCGATTAATAGCTCTCCACTGCATTAGCCCTTTCTGCTACTGATCATATAACAGATGTTTAAATAATTCCTCTTAGGAAAATTTAGGATTCAATTAGGCTGAATGTGCACAACTAGTCTTCAGAACAGTGACCTTCTGCCTCAGAACTGTAGTCAGACAATATCTTTAGAGGCAGTCAGTCAGTGCAGAGGCCACAGACAGGAAGAAAAGGAAGAAATAAATCATGCCAGGTTTCCTACACAATCAAATACCGGGCATTTATACTCCATCCTAATTTACCTAGCATTTTTTTCTCCTCATTCATGACGAACATTTGAACCCTATTCTCCAAAGGCACAGAATTTATTTATGTTTTTGCTTTCTATTCCACCAGTCTACTTAATTGGAGCACACTGTTGATTAATGATCAAGAAAATGTAATGATCAAGAAAATGTGCAGAACATTTGAAAAGTATGAATTTGCCCAAGAAGCAACTGTGCCAGGAGATGCAGGAGCTTCCCATTTTGAAGTGAGATGCTTTGCTTGCACTTTGCAAAGAACTTCCTTTGAATGTTTTGCACAGCCTTACCTAAATACAAATAAACAAATAAATAAAATCCAGACGTATACATTAACACCATTCATTCATTAATAAAAAAGCATAGTGAAAGAGATGTGTCCTAGTTATTCTTCCAAATAAAGACAGAAGCAGCCAAACACAAAAGAGTATATTCCATGGCTGCAAATTGTGGGATCGCAAAATCCCGGGGTCCCGCTCCCTGCAGGACGGTGGTGATGTACGTTGGCCTAAACCAACGGGCCTCGCTTTAGATCAGGAAACACACGGGCAACATGCTTCTTCAGGTGAGATGGCAGGCAAAGACCCTCAAGCCTCTCCGTGCCTCCCTTTTATTCGTACATTAGCATAATCAAGGGGGGGGT